GCTGGTGTAGTCTTGGTTTGGTCTGGGACTTGATCCACCTGGGAAGACTGTCAGACCTTCCTGGCTGCTTCTGGTGGGCGTGGAGTCTGGGATGTGACTTCTGCCAGTACTTGGAAGTCTTGCAAATCTGTATGAGTGGTTTGTGCTGATTTAGGGCAAGGCTTACGAACAGGAGCCGCTCCAAGTGAGCGTCCCTCCCTCCCCGTGTCTTTGTTCAAACCCACAGGCAGGGACATACCACGCTGTTAGCTAAAAAGTTGAGTGGTGGGGGAATTTCATTAACAAGCTCTAGCATTTTAGCTGTGGAAGTATGAAAAGCAGCTCATGTTCTGCAGTGTCTCTCTTCTGAACCACACCATATGGCCAAGCCCAGCACCTTCAGCTTGTCAGCAGTAATTTGCTGGCTCAGGAGGGACTGAATCTTCTTTTCTGGTATTAAGACATGAATAGTAGGTGCTTGCTGAGGTGGTACCAGCTGTGTTGCATGTGTGTCAGCAGAAGAGAAAATACCTGAGGGATAAAGGGCTGTGCCTTCTCAGATGGGGTTGTTTTGGAGCTCATTTAAGTGGGCCCAATTAAATGGGCAGGGACATGCTCTGTGGGATCTGCCTTCTCCTGCTTTTCCCCAGTCTGAGAACTGCTCAGATCATTTCTGGAACTTGCAGCACTTCCTGGGTGGCAGACGGATGAGGCCTCTTTGGAGCCTGTCAAAGTAATATGTGCTTCTGCCCAAAGATGACCCTCTTTTGGAGGAACCCTGAGCTCCTCGCCTGACAAGGAGAGGTTCATAGCAGCACAAGTCCTTCTGCTCTTGGAGCAAAGAGGCACCAACAGGAATAGCTGATGCGACCACAGAGGCAAAGTGCTTTGGGAAGAAACCAATTCAGAAAGGAGGGAGCTGCTTGCTTTTGACTCATGAACTCTTTTAGGGCCCTTTTTCTTCTTTGGGCAGTGCTGAAAATATGTGAGTGAACAAAGACACTCTCTTGTTTCTGGATTTCAGCTGTGAACTCGCCTATCTGGTACTGGAAACCAACAGTGGATGAAGGATATTCTGTTTCTTAGAGGAGAGAGGACCATTACTTTCTCTAGGTCTCTGGAAATAAAAGCAATGGTCCTTTCCCCTTCCCTTTCAAGGGCAGCATACGGAGAGAAAAAGAAGTGTCCCAGATAAACTAAGTTCAGGATTCCAGCAACTTACTGGTAATGTTGGCCAAGCAGATGGAGTGAAAACTGAAGAGCAGTTGAAAACTGGAGAGCAGTGCATGTTGTACAGACATGAAGATGCCCTCAGCACCTTCAAAACCCCAGATCCCACCTGTGAACTTAAGAGAGAGACCCGTCTGCAAAATTGTTCCAAGTAGACCTCAGCCCCACTGCTTCCTTCTTCCAGTGGGCTTGGAGCTCTGGGTTTATGTTCAGAAAATGCGTAACCTGCAGAAGAAGAGGTAGGGGAGGGCTCGGGCATGTGCTGTGGGAGGAACTGGGGCTGTAACTTAAGTCTGTCTTTATTCACGGTTTTCCCTTTCCTTTGCCACTCTGTCAAGGTGGTTCAGGTTGGCTCACTTAAACATCGGATTTTTGTCTTCTGCCTAAATTGCCCTTCTGGTCTTTTCTTAGAGACAGTTGAGCTATGGCCTTTGGAAGCTGTTGTGCTTTAGCGTGCTTGAGTTTGTTCGTTGACCTTGAGTTGGTTCCTCTGCCCTTGGCATTGTGTTTCTGAGTGCTTTTAAGCCTGTGGTGACTGAACTGTGTGCAGAGTTGCTTCCCAGAACTAGCTCTGGCTGTGGGGCCTTGAGGATGTGAGAAGGGCCAGGTGGGTTTCAGAAGTGGGTTGTGATTCTGTTAATTGCTGTCTGTGACTCTTGTCCCTTTCCATGGCAGGAAAGGCTTGGCAGAGAGTGATGCAGAGAAAAAGCCTCCTCTCCCTTCCCCTTGTTTGCTTAGGTCCCAAGCCGAGCAGTGATGTTAATTAGATAAGTCAGATACTCCACAAAGCAGCCTGTTCAAGGACAAACAGATTTTAATTAAAGGCTGTGTGCACTGGAAGGTCGTGTCACTGCATTGTGCCTGAATAGTTACTATGGGAACCCAGAAAAGCACCCGGAGAGTGTGAGTGTGTGCAAGTGCGTGTATCGGAATGCAGCCCCCAAGGCACAGATTTCACTCCTGGTTATGTTTCCACTGGCGAATACGGCCTGAGCAACATGTCAGCCTTGCGTAGTTGGGCTTTGTTGCTGTAGGGTTTTCTGTGTTGCGGGGATGAGAACCCTCACTTCAAACCAGTCAAATCACACAAGAAGTTTGATCTGAGCTAGACTGCAATGCCATGAATTAGGGAACTTGGTCTCCAGCTCAGTTTTTAGGCTCTTTACTGTTGGTGAGCTCAGTTGTGTGAAGAGAACCTGGATGTTGCGAAGAGTTTTGTTTGTGTTGAAATCCGAAATCCAAACTGAAATTATTTTCACATTTTCTTCTGTCTTTGCTGCCTTCTAACTGGAATCCAACATTAATTCCTGTGATAGTGGCTCATTCTTGCATTTTGAGTCCTCTCAAGATTCACCTTTGCCAAGATGCCTGCGTTTAATCTTGCTGATTTGAGAACAAGGTGTTCCTTGTTCTTCTTCAGTCCCAAGCCTTCCTTCAGCTATTTGGGATGTATTGGCAGAGATTTGTCAATACCTGATGTTGACACTAGGTGACCACTCTGGTGATCTACAAACTATGAATGTGCCTCAGGACTGATGGAAGGTCTGGTATGATCCCCAAATGGGTCCCTTTAATTCAACGTGCTGTTGCAGAAGCTCATTCTTACTAATTTCATGCGGTCTAGTAAGAGGATCAGTAGAGAGAAGTTAAACGTTTTTAGTATTAACAGTCTTCATATTTTTATTTCCCCTATCAAACAGAAGTTGAGGCAGGGAATTATGCTGCACTGGCACCGCCATCAGCTTTCTTGTGCAAGTAAAATAGCCGCTCAAATGTGAGCTTTGCAGTGAGCTTGAAATCAAATATTTGTGTGGGAGTTTGAGGTGGGAGCTCAAATGAGCTGCTTCACAATCCCATTCTCCCTCTTCTTACTCGGTGGTTTTTGGGACAAATGAGCAGTGAGACACAGGAGAGGTCACAAATGTGTTTGGAGGGAGTCTGAAACCAGCTTTTTCGCCTTTTTTTGTTTGTTTGTTTGGACAGTTCTTATGAGTTCTCCTGCTTTGGAGGACGCCGTTGGGCTGCCAAGTGTTGGGTGTTTGGAGCCATACGGAGCTGACTCAGCAAGGAGATTGCCAGGCAAATGGGGTTGGATTTTAGGCAGTTTATGCACAGCTCATAGAGAAACTGGCTTTGTTTCCTGGCAGCTGAGAAAATGCCATTCTGCCTGTTTGTAGGAAAAACGTTATTAGGATTGTTATTTCATACGTGTATCTCCCTGTGTCCCTTCATGGCAGGGGGAGGCAACTGCTGGGTGCAGACTTGGGCAGAAGACACCAGAGCACAGACCTGAAGCAGCAGGAGTGGTGCCCTGAAGTTGGTGTGCACAGGGCCCTGTGGGTGCATGATGGCAAGTGGTGGCCTTAGGGAGAGAAGCCAGAGCAGAGCAGAGTGCCCTGGCTTGGCCATGCACCTCAGCCTTGGGTTGCAGAGACCCTGGTTGCAGGGGCTGGGCCTTGGCTCATCACAAAGGTGGCTTTGGGGACAGTATCTTCATCAGGAAACTGCTGCAGGAGGCCTCAGCTGGGCTGCTGCTACTGCAGCGATGATGAACAAGTTGTTCTCATAGTCTGGGTACCACAGCCAAGCTTCCTGCAAGTGCTCTTTGACCGAGAACAGAATAGAAACCACCTTTGGACATTTATTATCTTTTGTCTGACCCTTGCTTTTCTGACTCTGGACAAATGGGCTACGTTGTTTCTGAGCAGATGTCCACCTTTGGCCTAGATAATTTTGACTTTTAAAAATACATTGAACAGAAATGAAAAAACCAAAAAGAGCAAAGAGAAGCATCTGAATAGAGGAGCAGGAACATGCTGTGTCCATCTGCTTGGTGAAGGGGCTAGCTTTGCAGCAAGCAAGAGACTTCCAAATGTAAGCTTTGAAACGCATGCTCTGTGCCTTCTGAGAACTGGAGGACACACATGGTCTAACAGGGACAGCTGTAACGTGGAGAGTACTTGGTGGAGCACATTTCCTTTCTCTTGAAGCAGCATCACTGCTCTCGCTCCCCTCCAGTGGCTTGCAGAGCACTCGCTGACAGTAGAGCATGCACCATTGCCAGAGGTGTCAAGAAATGCAAGGGAGGAAAGCTAGGCTGGAGGCTAATGTGCAGAGTGCCTGCGGAAAAAGTGACAGCAGGGGAGTTAATGAAAAGCAGACACAGAGCACTGGAAGCTGCTCAGCCAAGAAATTCTGCACAGTCCAGGGTTTTCTCTGGTATCCAATAAAAATGTGTTACAATTTGGCTACCCTCTTTCTTACCCGGGGGGAAGTGGTGCAGGCGTGAACAGCCTGGGTACGTGGCTTCTGCACTGTGCACCACCTGGAAGAAAAAAAGATGCCATGTTCGTCTTGTGAATATGCATCTGGAGAGCCCAGTTTCTTGTCTGGATTCCTACCAGGAACCCAGGGGCTGCCTTTGTCCACTCGCCCATGTGGTCTGTAAATCTGGATGCTCCTGTGTCTCATGCCTAGGAGGCTGCTTTGTTAGAGGGGCTCTGTGCCCACCATGTCCACTGAAAGCTGCTGTCCACATTGCTGAGGTGTGCCAGCTGCGCGTCCCTGAATTGTTATCGCCCAAACAGTGTTTGGCCAGGGGCTGGTGCCTTGGTGCTGAACCCAGAGAGGCAGCTTCTGCCTGGAGGGTGGCTCCCTCCAGGGCAGGTGTTGTAGGTTTTTTTTCTGGTGCAATGAGGTGTAGAATGAAGTAAACTTTTTAACCATTGCATAGCACCATGAGTGCACTGCAGTCTAACTCCTGTAGAAATGATGGTCTTGCTTTTGGCAGAATGGAGGCATCCTGCCTGGAACTGGCCCTGGAAGGAGAACGCTTGTGCAAGGCTGGGGACTTCAAAGCGGGAGCAGCCTTCTTCGAAGCAGCGGTGCAGGTGGGGACAGAGGACTTGAAGACTCTCAGTGCCATCTACAGTCAGCTGGGCAATGCCTATTTCTACCTAAAGGAGTACTCCAAGGCCCTGGAGTACCATAAGCATGACCTTACCCTGGCCAGGTAAGCATGTCAGCGGTGCTTTGCCCTAATTAACACAACCTGTCAGTGCTTGAGTGAAGGCAAGTTCTGTGGGGTCTGGATCCAGCAGCTTGAGGGAATCTGCCCCAGAAATAAGCATCCAAAACTAGCCCCGAGGCATGGAGTGGAGAACTTGGGAGGGCAATGGGACTGGGCCAGGCACTTTCAGAGCAGGGAGATGGAGAAAGGGATATGGATGTGAGGAGGGTGCTTGGAGCAAGAGCAGGGCAGTGTCCAGTTCTCCTGTCCTCGGGTACTCGTAAGTACACCTGAAGTCATTAGAGCAGTTCACCTGAGAGAGCAAAAACCAAGAACCTGTCTTCAAAATTGAGCAGGCTTGTATGAAGCATTCCAGTCAGGCGGGTGTGCTAGGAACTGCTGGATGTGGTGGACGTACCGTGCAGTGCTTGCTGCAGCTTGGCTCATTGCAGCTTAAATTCTGCCTCTAACAGGTGGTGAATAGAAGTATGTGAGCTCTTTAACACCTCTCTTCTTTCCTCTGGTCATCTTGTAGAACTATTGGGGACCGCATTGGAGAAGCCAAGGCAAGTGGCAACCTCGGGAATACATTGAAAATACTTGGGCAGTTTGATGAAGCTGTTGTTTGTTGCCAGAGACACTTGGACATTTCTCAGGAGCAGGGAGACAAGGTAATTGGTTCATGGCACCCCACGGGAAATATTTCCTAGCTTTAAAAAGAATCTGTTTGCAAGTCAGTAAATGTGATATGGTGAAGGTGGGCTTTGGAAGGAGGTGGAGTGTAAAGCTCTCCCTTCTGACTGCATCACAGGTCTCATGCTGCTGACAGTAACAGCTACCATGACAGTGAAGATGGGAAAGGAAAATGTGGGCGTCCTGCCTTTGACTATCTTTGCCCAGCAAAGGAAAGGTCCATATTGGGATATGAAGTGTAATACCTTGCCGCTCCCTGTTCTTCCTCCCTTTAGGTAGGTGAAGCCAGAGCACTCTATAATATAGGAAATGTTTACCATGCAAAGGGAAAGCACTTATCTTGGAACATGGCCCAAGACCCAGGCTACCTGTCGCAAGAAGTCAAGGAGACGCTACAGAAAGCTTCAGAATATTATGAGTAAGTATTCAAGCTTGGCTGACCCTTCCTCCTGCAGGGATCAGGGCTGGTCAGGCATCAGTGATTGCTAAAATGCACATGGGTACACCTTTGCTGAGCTCATCCTGCTCAGATATAAGCTGTATTTGTGGTGGTCCTGTTCTGCTGACAGCTTTCAGGGTCTACAGGTTAGCTGAGCTCTGATAACTGTTAGGCTAATGATAGCTGTGTGAGGTGCGAGATGACAATTTTTACTGAGTCCTGTTGTGGAAGTGTTTCTCATAGGGGTGATTTGTTTCCTGGGCCTTTGAGGATGTGGGAGCTCTGGAAGATGCTTGTTGCAAAGAATGAGACTGTGGGCTCAGTGTTGTTGAAAATCAGGCCGCTGAATGAGATTTTACATGTTGTAATGAATTAGGAATACTCCCCTGAGATGCCAAGTTATGATGGCAAATTAATCTCAAGGAAGGTGAGAGAGGGACTGCAAGCTTATACAAAATTAGAGCTAAAATTCATCCTGGCATATTGCCTTGGTAAAACTCAGCGTAGTTTGAAGTATGATCATGCAATTAAGTTCAATAGTCTGTTCCTTCTCAGAGCTGCATTTGGAAGCTAAACTGTTAGCTCCTGTAGCCCCTGCTGCTCTCTGCTGGCCTTGATGAGAAGGATCCCTGTGTATCTCCATCACTGGGGCCATGAACAAAAACTCCTTCATCCAAGGGAAGAGGCTTTCACTTGAAGTCCTGGTTGTCTTTCTGATGCATCTGTAGTTAATCTTGCTTGTAACATCCTTCCCTTTCCTAAATAGTTTAAAAGATCACTCTGATGTCCCTCAGAAAGGTTGTCACCAGACTTCTGGACTAACGTTTTTCTCCTCGTACTTTGGAGTTTTGCTTCAGTAATGCAGGTTTTTTTTTTTTAAGCAGACTTTTTAAATGAAGAGAGTGACAGGATCTTATACTCATCTTCTCGTATCTGAGGATGTGATAGTGCCTATATATATCTCGCCATCCTTTTTCCAAAGAATGGTGCGTGTAGCATAGCCAGTGGGCAAACTTGTGCCAGTTGGGAGCACTACGCTTCCTTATGTGTGCTGTATGTGTAAAGGGAGAAAAAAAACAAGGTAAAGAAATTCTGGGAAGCTCCATGAGCAGAGCCCTGGCATGGGACTGTGGATCTTGCCCCTCTCCCCAGGTTTGTCGCTCTACTGCTGTAAGTAATCTCCTTTCTCCTGTGCTCCTGGTTCTCTCCCATACAGTGAGGTGGCCATTTCTTATTTAACGTGGGGTCCTATCAGACCTTTGGTGTGTGAGCAGTTCCTGTGCACAGTTGCAGATTGCCTGAGGCCCAGAGAGCAGCAGGGACTTATCCCCCTGGATCTTCAGGAGCTCCCAGAACTGCAGCTAGCATAGATCACCAAACTCGCCTGCCAGGGGATGCCCAGGACAGGCAGCTGGGGAGGGGAAATGCCTTCTCCAGGGTTAGCTCTCCTTTCTTTATGGTGCAAGTCTCTTTGCTGTGTCTCCTACAGAGAGTGTTGGCTGTGTCTCACCAGACATACTGCTCTGGCTTCTTTCAGGAGGAACCTGTCCCTGGTGAAGGAGCTGGGGGACAGAGCTGCACAGGGCCGTGCTTATGGCAACCTTGGCAACACCCAGTACTTGCTAGGCAACTTCAGTGAAGCAATAGCCTTCCACAAGGAGGTAGGAAACTGCTGCGCCTTCTTCCTGGGGTCAGGGGCTGAGACTGGCTGTTGGGGAGCAGCCTTTCTTCTCACCGCAGCCCAAGGAGGACAGGGATGCATGTGCCCTCAGCTGTTTTTTCTCCCTCCTATGTGTACCTCAGGATCTGGCCCTGTTGCACTAACTCATGCTGAGCAACATCCTACTCCAATCCCCGTCAGCCCCTAATGAGCGGTTTGAGGGAAGGGTGCTGTTGGCTTGGAAACTAAAGGAGATATCTAAGGGCAAATTGCACCTGGGCCTAGCAAGGCTTTTCTGCTCTTAATTTGTGTCGGTCTGGATTTTAATAAATGCAAGCTATGAATTTAATTAAGCTGCTGAAAGAGCTGTTGATCAGGAATAAATGTTGCTTGTAGAACATAATAACTTTCTGTAAAGCTTTACAAAGGGGTGAGGTGATAACAGTCTCCGCCCCAATTCAGATGCAATTCAGCTTCTAGTTCAGAGTATAATCAGTTTTCTTGCAGTGGAAGGTGCTCAGCACCCTGGAAAGTCAGCCCTGTCACCG